GGGGGGGGGGGGGGGGGGGGAACCCTTGTTTCTAACTTTGACTTTTACCATACAGCATATTTCTCTAATACTGATGAAGTTGGATATGTGTCTATATGTGAGTGTACACTCATACATGTATGTGCATGTCTTGGTTATGTTTTTATAGACAAATGACTGTGTTGCAGTTCAAATATATATTTAGATAAATGCAACTGATGCTGACTGTGCCTAAGAACAAAATGTTTTATGTCACTTCTATTTAATACAGAACAATGGTAGTTGTATTTTTTAATGAGAGAATGTTGGAACAAAATATGATAAATATGGCTGATACAGCTGCATATGCCTCAATTTATCCTTCTTAAATTAAGAAATGACATTTCATTTTATAATATTGCATCAGTCACCCATATAACATAGAAAGAAATGTAACCCTGTGCCTCTAAGCTGTCTGAACATGAAAAAGAGACTTTCATAAGTGTTGTTCAGTATTCCTAATACAAATTTGTATATGACATTGCACACTACATTTGCAATTAACTTAGAATGGACATATGCAAACTCCTATATAGTTTAGTTTTGGGGCAAAATACAGACATAAAAAAAGAATTACAGATTTCTTTTATCATGTTCATATAATGTAGAGGTCATACACAGATTAATGTGATACAGCGATGTCATTTTATTAAATATTTGATTAATGATCAGTTCCTTGCTCTCTAAAAAGGATTTTAGGAGCTCAGAAAAAATGTGCCAGAAAAACCAAAGACTGGATTTGCTTACTGCTAATATATAGCATAAGGGAGACAAATGTCAGGAAAGCAGAAGTCTCTCCAAGTTCAAGTATCCTTACAATTTTTGCTTTTGAGGATTCATCTTCAGAGGTACTATTTGTGCAGGAAGACAACTAAGAAAACAGCAGCAAAGGAGATAAATTCCAGGATACAGAGATGCAAATTTAAAGCATATGAAATGCATAATCACTTCCCAGTTTAAATAGATTGCAAACATGTGAACACTTACTGCTTTTATACAGTAATAATTTATGTAGACATATTTTCATTCCAGAGTGATAAAGAAAAAATCTTCTTTCTGATCTGTTTCCATTTTCAGTGTGTTTTCAAATAAATACTTACCTCTATTGATAACAGGTTTTGGTATGAGAAATATAATTTTAATCCCAAAAACACTCAAGATTATGATAAACAGTTAAAGATTAACAGAGTTAAAGGTACTTAATCACTTAGAGAGAATTCTCTAGAAATTAGAAACTCCATTCATAAACTAATAATTTCTCGTTTGTATTCTTTTAGCTAGAAGATATAGCCATTTCAGGCTTAGAGGATAAATCCCCAGCCATAGAGACAATTTTTCATGTTACTGAAACTCAGGCAAACAATCTTTAAGAAATATAGAGCATGCTGCAGTTCCAGTTCAATTCATTAAAAGTATTTTCTGTGTTAGCTGATGAAGATACCCAATGACATGCTGATTAGCAAGTTAGTTAAGTGTGGGCTGGATGGGATGACATTTATGTGGATAAATAGCTGGTTCAGAATTGGTTCTTAAAGAGCTCCCATCAATTATTCTTCATCAAATTAGAGAGAGGATTCAAATCCACAATTCCAAAGTCTTCAATATTTTCATTAATGATTGGATAAAAAGGTAGAGAGAATGCTTATCAGTTTTGCAGATATTGAATAGAGTAGCTTATACTATAGAATAAAAGAGAAAATTCAGAGCAATTTTGATAGGTTGGAGAAATGGACTAAAAGGAACAGAATGAAATTTTAAAAGAAGTAAATGAAAGATTTTCACTCAGGACACAGATATAAGATAAAGGATATCTGGCTTGATAATAGTACTTATAACTCAGATAGTGCAGTATCAGTTGATTGCAAACTGAATCTGAGTCACCATTAGGAAGTATGATTTTCCAAACAATAGGAAATAATTGCTCTAGTCTATTCTGATTTGCCCACATCCACCTTGAGTATTGGGTCCATTTCTGGACACTACAGTCTAAGAAGATTCAGTGAAATTACAACAAATTGGTGTAAGGGCAATGAAGATGATTAGCGCTTTAAAAATGATGCCCCCAAGGGAGATTGAAGCAGCTACATATGTTTAGCCTTGAGCAAAGATGACTAAAAGTGGATATGATAGCCATCTTCAAATAACTGAGAGAAGGTCACATATCAAGGCTTCTCTCTCACTCCAGAGCACAGGACATGGAATAATAGATTTAAGTTACTGGAAGACAGATCCCAATGAAAAATTATGGGGAAAAAAATCTTCCTAATAGTAAGAGCAGTTTGACAGTGGAGCCAGAGAGCTGTTAAGCTACCTTTCATTGGATGTGTTCAGGTGGATGCTAGACAACCACATGTATGGGATGCTTTAATCTGGATTCTTGCACAGAGCAGAGGATTCGTCTCAATGTCCCAACCCACCCTTTCCAAATCTGCGATTCTAAAAGAAGAAATCAGCCCAGTCAGACTTTATGAGAACTGTCCAAGGTGCTGATTTTGTGGCTTCAACTTTCAGATTATGTGATTATCCAGGACGTGACTGTACTGACTCCTACTATGTTCTGCAAATAACCTTCATGTTAAATTGATTGAAAATTTTCCTATGTGGAATTCTTGGCTCTTGTGAAATAGAATACTACAGTTATTTAGTACAATGTTTGTTTCCATAGCACTGATGTATAGGTTATTTAACCAGGCCTTTTTATATAGTACATAATAAATGTTTCAGGAATTTTTTTTTCTTTTGCATATATCTAGCACATGGGTCTTCTGAAATCTGCCAAATCACAATATGCAGACTATGTCTATGACCCTGACTTCTGGTGACTAGAGAGACACATCCCTACAGTATTCCTTGGCAACATTTTTGGAAGTGATTTGCTATTCTCTTCTTCCAAGGCTGAGAGAGAGTGAATGGCCCAAAGTAACTCAGTGGGCTGCCATGCCTAAGGCAAGATTAGAACTCACATTTTCCTGGATTCTAATGCAACATCTTAAGCCCTACACTAAACTGGCTCTCAAGTACATTATGTACCCATATTAATACTGGAAAAGTGGTGTTTTTTTCCCTTGATCTAAACAGGAAAAAAAAAAATCCTATTGTTGAATACAGCTATTACAATTGCTACTTTATTAATATATGTTTTATGTACAGTAAAGTCTACTGTAAGTAAAGTCTAGACATTTCATGCCAATTCTGTCCTGGAATTTTGCTAGTATGCAATTATAGTTGATTCTCCATTGTATAACCAGAAATAAGTTGGATTGTTTTGGCAATTACTATAACCAAACATCACTACACTGGGAAAACAGTAACATTCCATAATGTATACATTTCTCTACCCTACACCTCTACATGTACTTAAATGATATACTGAAAGTCAACTGAATTTTCCCCTGGCTTTTGTTTTATTGAACTAAATTTAGTTGACTTAAAAATTCAAAATACTGTAATTTTTCATGCATAAAGCTTGGCTAAAGTTAATAATATTTAAGAATATTCCATTACTTCAGCAATAATTAGTAAAAGAGTAGAACAGGATGAGGAGCAGAAGAAGTAAGTGAAGGTACATCCAAGGCCATGGCCCTACCTACAACACAGTGAAGCCACTGGATCATTTACATTTCATTTCATTTACAGCAATGTATTGCACACATAGAGTCTTTTGGGAAGTTCTGTTTCCTACTCAACCAGCAACAGATTCATGTTTATTAAGACTTTCTTCCTGCTGAAGTGATGAGTAGATTAGAACTGAATATATAAAGCATGTAATAAAGAAATATGTTATTGTAATTTGGAAGTACACATATTGTGCTGTAGATTATGATTGTGGTGGTAATGATAACAACGATGGCGATGATACATTTGAAGCATCCACTGTTTGCAAAATCATAATTATTCTGGAAGACTTAATGAAAACAAAAATCAAAATGAAACCATAAAGCATAGGCATAGTTTTGTTTATACTGTGATTAGATTGCTGGTTACCTAGACTATAATAACAGCTCATTCTGATTTTCTGATAGGAAGGAAACAAGAGAAATGAAGAATAAGACTAGAAACAGCACTCAAGAAGGAAATCCCTGCTTCTTTATTTCTCCCCTGTCCCCATAAGCTATTAGTTGCAAGAGTATATACGAACTTGTTTATAGATGGGATCTTAATTTGAGTTATGTGGTCACTTAAACTCAAAACTACTCTAATTTTTATTTATTTTGATCATAGCTTTGACTATAGTATTGGAATGTTCTAGTTCAGATTGTCTTACACATATATTTAATGGTTTGCTTTATCTATTTGCACAACTCATATTGATTGATTGGTTGATTGATTGCAGGAGAAGATCCTGAAGCAAGAAGAATGAGAACTGTAAAGAATATAGCTGATCTGAGACAGAACTTGGAAGAAACTATGTCCAGTCTTAGAGGAACTCAAATAAGCCACAGGTATTGTTTACTACTGCAGTTGGATATATGGGACAATAAAGCAATAACAGTGAGCATTTTCAGAGTGCATCTTCTAAGCAGAATCTTCAGAGTTTCAAAGTCTGATTCTTAACCTTTCAGTATCAGATTAAAATGTTTCATTTCTCTTTTCATCCTCCTTCGTTTTGAGAGTCTGGCAACAAAAATTTCAGAAAATATTGGATAATATTTACCTCAATCACTACATCAGTATATCAGTACATCAAGCCTCTTTAAGTTGCCTTTTTAAGCAACTTAAAGGTTTGATTTAAAAAGCATCATAACGCTAAAGAAGTAAACGCCTATCAAAAAGTGAAAGTTAATGATTCTACAAATGTGTAGTATTCTAGAAAAGAAATTACAAACAATCTTTAATAATTTAAAAGCTTAAATCTGAACAAAATCAACTTGCATAGATCAGATTTAAACATGCCAATCCGTAATGTGTGTACTGTATGGATGAGGCCATTATTTTTATTTATTTATTTATTTATTTATTATCAAACTTGTATGCCACCCATCTCCCCCAATGGGTGACTCTGGGCGGCTCACAGTAATAAAAAAGAAAAATCACAAGTCCCTCCAACCCTGAATAAAATCTATAAATAATTTAAAAACATATATTAAAAATGCCCTAAAACCTCCTATAATTT